GCAACACAATGAAGAGAGACCTCCAGCTCCTGATTGCACTGTTCTGTTTGTCCATTAGACTGCGGATGGTAGCCTGATGACAGACTAGTAACAGTGGCACCTAAGGCGTTACAAAATGCTTTCCAAACTTGAGAGATGAACTGGGGTCCACTGTCTGACACTACATCAAGCGGAATGCCATGGCGTCTAACAACATAATAAGACAATAACTGAGTAGTTTCTATGGTGGTGGGTAACTTGGGTAGGGCAATGAAATGGGCCATCTTAGAAAATCGGTCAACAATGGTGAGTATGGTGGTATTACCTTGGGATGTCGGGAGGCCAGTAACAAAGTCCAACGAGATGTGAGACCAGGGTTGTCCAGGAATGGGTAAGGGATTGAGAAGTCCAGATGGAGCCTGGTGACTAGATTTGTTATGGGCACAGACTGTACATGCAGTGACGTTTTCTTTTATATCTTTGATGAGTGTGGACCACCAAAGATAACGTGCTGCTTGGGAGATCATATGATGAGTACCAGGGTGACATGAAAACTTGCTGTTGTGTAACCAGTCCAAAACTTTACCTCTTACAGTGGAGGGAATGATCAATTGATCAGGAGGACCTCCACCAGGGTCTGGCTCAGCTTGCTGGGCTTCTTGGATGGCTTGTTGAATGGGCCAAGTTAGGGCTCCAACAAAACAGGTGGATGGGATGATGCTCTCCTCTTTCTGGGTTTGGTCTTCTGAAGAAAACTGTCAAGAGAGAGTATCAGGTTTAATGTTGCGTGAACCAGGTCTGTAGGTTATTGTAAAATTGAATGTGGTGAAGAACAAGGACCAGCAAGCTTGACGGGGATTTAATCTCTTTGCAAACTGTAAGTATGACGGATTCTTATGATCAGTCCATATTATAAATGGTGCCTCCATGCCTTCAAGCCAGTGATGCCATTCTTCCAATGCCAATTTGATGGCCAACAAGTCACGATTGCCCACATCGTAATTACGTTCAGAAGATGACAGGTGACAGGAAAAATATGCACAAGGATGGACCTCACCATCTTCAGATGACCTCTGTGACAGGACAGCTCCCACTCCTGTATCGGAGTCATCAACTTCCATAATGAACTGATCTGAGGGGACAGGATGGTGTAATGTGGGTGCTGTGATAAATCTTCTCTTTAACTCACCAAAAGCTGCATCGGCTCCGGGGTTCCAACGAAAGGTTTTTAGAGTGGAGGTGAGTTGGGTAAGTGGAGCGGCAATCCGGCTGAAATATTTTATAAAGCGTTGATAGAAGTTTGCAAACCCCAGGAAATGTTGCAGTTGTCATTGATCGGAGGGAACCGGCCAGTCTGCCACTGCCTTCACCTTCCGTGGATCGGTCTGAAAATAACCTTTGCCAAAAATGAATCCCAAAAAAAAAAGAGACTGACGATACACGAAAATCACACTTTTCAGCTTTGACAAACAACTGATTATCAAGGAGTCGCTGAAGTACTGCTCTGACATGTTGGATGTGTTGAGTGGTGTTTTGTGAATAAATGATTATGTCGTCTAAGTAGTCCAACACCAATGAGTTGAGGAAATCCCTTAACACGTCGTTGATAAGGGATTGAAAAACTGCCGGGGTATTGGTAAGGCCAAATGGCATTACGAGGTATTCTAAATGTTCTAGAGGTGTTTTGAAAGCAGTTTTCCATTCATCCCGCTCTTTGATTCTTACCAAATGGTAAGCATTTCTTAGATCCAGTTTGGTAAACACTGTAGCTGAGTGAAGTTGCTGATGGACTGATTCAATGAGGGGTAATGGGTATTTATTCTTTACAGTAATTTGGTTAAATCCACGATAGTCAACACATGGTCTCAGGCTACCATCTTTTTTGCCAACAAAAACAAATCCTGCCCCTAGAGGGCAGGTGGAAGGACGAATGATACCAGAGGTCAGGGACCCTTCGATATAGTTTTCATAGATTCCCTCTCCAGTCCAGACAGATTGTAAAGGGGACTGGACAGGAGAGGAGCTCCAGGTAATAAGTCAATCGAACAATCATAAGGTCTGTGTGGTGGGAAGTGAAGATCTGACAGTCAGGATGCCTTATAAAGCGCCAGTGGCTGATTAGGAGAATCTTCCTCAGGTGTGCAGTGGTGCAGGAAACAATGTGGCAGCCAATCATCAAACATGAACACCAAAAAGCCAGTCATAACAGTGTGTGCATGTGTGAGTGTTAGGAATCAGCAAAACTTAGCATACTAAACTACAAACTGTAGGGACCAAATGTAAGTAAAATGTCTGTTTAATCCATCGACTTATGGAGAAAGCAGATTTCTTTTATGCCCTGTTGAGACGCCTCAGGGGTTTCCCAGTTTTACATAACAAAATGAATAACTAACCTCACAGATCTACACTTAGCACTTTGCAATAAAGGTTATAGGATCTCTCCACCCACACCTTGAGCAGATGTACTTGACTTTAAATAGCCAATTTGATAATGTTAACAAAAAGCAGCACTTCACCCTCAGGAAAGTTCACGAGGACAAGGGCAACAAAGAGCTCCAGTTTCAGTGGGGAGGCTTATTACAACAGGGCCCACACAGACCTTGTTAGTGGGCACTTAACCATCTGTACACATTTCTCCACGAGAACATGTTTTCCACCCAGCCGTGCCTCATCTCCATACTGACCTCTACAAACGCAAGTGTCCTTTCAAGCCCATTCATGCATGCAGGCAACATTCATAAAACCCTTCCTCACTTTAAACCGTGACCCCGTGAGAGATGTGCTGCCACAAAATATTCTAAACCGCAGAGAAAACCTGACTATGGAATATCAAAAGCTCCCATATGTCCACTTCTCCCCCTCACTGTCCTCTTTTTTTTCCCGTTCTCATGTCTGGGGAAGGACATGTCTTGCAAGGCCAATGATCCAGCCTGACTGAAGACACCAGGAAATGAACAGGTCACCCAGGAGTCCCACTGTCTGACGGGTAATAAACCTCGTCATTGAAATGTGAGCAGAATGCAACAATGCCACTGTGGTAGCATTTGAATGCAACATGATGGGTAAAAAAGAAAATATTCTAAGAACACGCTGAATATGTGCAAAGAATTGGAATAAAAACAGATGCAGGTGCCACTGCTCCCAGAAAGGTAATGTTACACGTGTTTATGTAAAATACAGAGTGTGGACTGTTTCTGCATTAGTAGGCTTCCCTGATATATGTGGTGCAGTAGACTGTGAGCTCTGTCTGCTCTATCTGTTATATTATATGTGTCTCAGGAAAACAGAGGCCGTATTTTCCTGGGAAGTGAATGTTGGACTCAATATTGCAAAAAAATAGGCAATTTTTTAGTTGCAGTCTTTCTGAAATCTGAGTATTTGAAACTAAAAGACCAACATGCTCTTTGGGTGTGATTTGCATGGCCAGATTTTTAAATCACAACTCATTTCTGTGTGCACTGCTTGCAAAACATGATTTTAGGGTGTGCACATGGTTTTATTGCTCAACTCTTCCTACCCACTTTTACCTGCTGTCTGTCCATGTTAGTAGCCAACCCAACGTTTGTATCCTATTGGAATACACTTTTAAATGAAGACTGTGAGCTTTAGGTTGATTTTTGTTTTTCCTTTTAGACCTGAACATAATTATCTGTGCAGGTGTCCAAATACAGCTCCTGAGACAGGTTCAAGATGCCCACAACAAACTAAAGAAGGGTTTGAGACACATTTGAGACACTCAAAACAACTCTGACTATTTTGAGAGAGATTATGTCAAACAAATCTTTGGAACATGTTCAAAATTCCCATATCAAGACACTGAGCCTCAGCAAGAAAAAAAAACTTATAGTAAGTACCACTTTACAATAAGGCTCCTCTTACAGATGACTAATAAAGAGTTAATAGATAGGTTTCTAATTCATCTGTAAACACTTTATAAATCAAGAAATGTTTTATGAATTAATTAAGGATGAGAAAAAGACAAAAATGTCCAGTTGCTTATCAAATAATGAGACAAATTCATCTACAAATAACATCTAAAGGTGCTTATTAAACATTTCATACTAGGTTACTACATTATAATTACAATAACGATAAGAAACATGTTTTAAGATATTAATATTGTACTGAATTACTTCACTACAATTCACTATAAATATTCACAACTTTCAAAGGGAGACTTATCGTAAAGTGTAATATAGTACACTATTAAAGACAAATAAACATTTATAAATGCCAAAAGTTAGACTTTAACATGAAAAATCGTTATTTTTAAAACTTTGTGTTGATAATCAATATTTGAAATTATTGTTTAAACATGTAACTACTGTCAACAATGATGATGTATCAAAAAAGTAAAAAAAAAAAAAACATCATGTTAACACACCAAATAATCCCACCCCATCCAAAATAGTGTACAGTTTTACACTTTACAATACGGATCCCTTTAACATTTGTGGATATTTTTAATTCAGTTATACAGTACAGTATTATATGTTAAATTATGTGTTTCCTAATCATCATTATTGTGCTTACAAGGTAGTAAACTAGTCTGAAATGTTTGATACCCACAACAGACTTGGCTCAGTATTTGGAAAGAAACTGGACAGCTTAGTCTCTTTTTTTACTTTAATTAATGCATAATAAACACTTATTAATAATTTATAAAGTGTTTACAGATGAATTAATAATCTATCTATAAACTATTTAAAAGCTATCTATAAGGGGAGCCTTATTGTAAAGTGGCACCAAACTTGCTAGACCTTCTGGAAACTTCCTTGCTAAACAGTTTGCCAACAGTCACCAACAGTGTCAGCCCAGTGAGATATAACATCATGGGTTTCAACTAAGAAGTTAAAATATGCTAAATTATTCCACTTATATTTATTAGGTCAAAAATGTAAAACATTGCCCTAGATTAAACTAATAAATAACTAAATGAGTTTGCTCCCACTGAAAAAGACCTTCGGTAATTGCCTCTCTTTCTATGTGCCGTGTATAAAAAAAAGGCAGACCAGCCTTACCTGGTTCTTTAAATCCAGCTTGGGGCATGGTCGTCCACCATTGAAAGCTTTCTCCCTGAGCCATTTGGATCTTATCTTCAATCCACTGCCACAGGACGCACTGCAAGCTGACCAGGGAGACCATTCACTGAGCTTACAGTCCAGGGGGCAAGGGATATGGCAAACCTCCACAATGTAGCCTGAAATTGAACATTGGCGGACAAAGAAGGCGGGGTGTGATTCAGACTGTGTTTAGCAGCCGCAGCAGAAATAATATCACACAGACACACACAGCCTGTTACCCCGGACCTTGGATTTACTGACTGTGACACCAACAGCTAATTATCTGACTGACATGTGTTTCATTCCTACACTGCGCTGTGGGCTTACAAGGTTTTGTCTAAAGCTTTTTGTTCTAGAGTTTTGCTTGTTTGCCCAGTACCTCTGGCGAGCAATTGAGATTTGCAAAGATTATCTCTCAGAATTTGTCATTTGTTTATTCTTTTTAATCAACAAGTACACAGATAAAAACACAAACACAACTCTCAGGAACAAATGCTGCATATTTCGTTTCTCAGCTGAAAATAACGTTGTTTGCAAAGATTGATTTTACACACTCTGATTGGTTTATGGACTACAAAAACAACCGGAGTGATGGATGTATGGATGTATGTATGGATGGATGGATGGATGGATGGGATTTCTGTCAGTCTTACCTGTGTCTGTACAAAACGTTGGGTTAACTAGGTGTCCCCTTTGGTTGACGCAGGCCACAGCTCTGTAGCGCACACCTTGGCCACATTCCTTTACCTCCCGATGGACCATCCAACCCTGCAGCGACTCAAACACTGAAGGGTTTGGAAGGATGCAAGCAGACCAGTTCCCATAGGGCTGAGATAAAAACTCATCACAGGGACAGGATTTTGTTTCTTCCAGTGGGTACAGCTCCTCACTGAGGCAACGCTCCTTCTTTTTGCTGCGGCCTGGGAAGAACAAAAACAAAATAATTATTATTATTTTACCATTTGCTAGATGGAGGTGCCAAATTTATCCAGTGGTGGGATTGGGGCTTAGGCCTGGTTCACATGGCAGGATTTTAAAACTGTCGGCCGATTTTCAAAGACTGAGAGACCCCACATGTGAGGATAAAAAATCATGGATTTACCAGGTTTGTTCCTACAGTGTGTGGTGTACAGCCACATGGCAACAGACAACACAGATTTCATTCAACAGATTTCATTCATGAACATTCAGAAATAAAAATTTGACGTGAAAAAACAACGCTGATCGTTTGTGGACTATTTTTAATGGAGCAAAAACAATTACTTCAACGTCCAGTGGACTTTCTGCTGAGTCATAGCAGTTTTTTATGTCATTATTTTGAAATCCCCTCAATGTTTATGTCACCTTGCTTTCTGATTGGCTGCCATGCTGCAGTTTACTTGGCATCTGAAAATACATTTCCTCAAAGGTATTTTTAATCTGAAAAGAGCTTCACTGAGTGAAAACTACTGTTGAGAGCTCAGCAGACAGTTTCAGTTTTATTTTCACTTTCACCCGAGCCTGCAGAAGTCATGCGTGGGGTGTGTGGAGACGGGGGGAGGGGGGGCACCCTGCCATGAGGAAGTTCGGCTTAAAGACACGTCCCAGGTGTGTTTCTGGTCCCAAAAGGCGTTTCTGGTCCCCACCTGTCGTTTTGCTCCTCAGCATGGCTTCCTAAAAACGCTGCAGGATTTCTCAAACATGCATGAATGAGTCAAAGCAAGGCTTTGGGCATGTTTTTTTATGAGAGTATAACATTATAACATGATATAAAACTCAAAAAAGTTGATTTTACATGATATTGTCCCTTTAAGATTGTCGTAAGGGCAAAAATCAGCAGGATTATCCTGCCATGTGAACCTGGCATAAGCTGCTCAATAATTTAATAAAACAGTGATAAAAATACAAAAAAAAACCCACTTCTTCAGCAAAGATGCAATAGTGATTAAATATTAATGAAATACAAACCATTGTCACTTGTTTTGCTAACTATAGCCTTTCATAATCTTACAATAGAGGCAAGTGAACAGACCCGACCAATATTTTGCAACGCAGTGTGTGTAAATTGATCCATTGCCACTGCAGTTAACAAGTTATATTTAGATACATTTAACTTGTTTTTTATTTCATTTTGGGGATGTACAGGACCTCTGTTGCCATTTAATTGTTTAACTATGAACTCCATTTGAACTATGGAGACTTTCTAAAAGTAGGTTTAGAGACTGTTTCTATATATATATTTGCTTCACTTCCAGGATAAAGCCTAAACCCCATCTGAAACAGTCAAATATCCCTGATGCAGCAAAATGAGGCTTCACACATGGACAGAATGGAACTTTGCACAAAGCCTCACCAGAAGGCAGAGAGACATTAGTGACTTTTCTATAGCATTCACATAAATGCATACTGTATAAATGCATTCACACTGTGACACAGCCATTAAATTGACACACTTTTTCAATATCTCAAAAATACTATTTTAAAGAATAAATATCCATATTGCTTTTTACCCGTATGACTGAGTCAACTGAAAATGCTGCAGTCAAATAATCAAAATAAAAGCAAATGGCCTGCAATGATAATTTTATGGTCAATAGGACCCCCATTCATATTACCTTCATCTTTATTTTGTTCAGGAGAAACATCATAAATGTCTAGCAAATTGCTCACTGTAAATTAAAAGAAAACAATTTTTTTTACAAAATGCATAAATAACCCCAGGGTGCATGATTGCTCTAAAACTTTTCTTTCCATTTTTTTCAACCTCTATAATGAGAAGGGCAATCTTACATATTTCTATCACTATTCTAAGGCAGGCATAATTGTGGTTGGTATTTATTATTAATGATCACAAGATCCAATAAAATCTTTGATTCAAGAGCTTGGCGACAGTGGAGGAATGAGGAGGCAATGAAAGCCAGCACAGTTATAGACACTTATATTGTTAAGTCAGTGATGAAGCAGTTTCGCTGTGATAAAGTTCTGCAATCATCTTTTTTTCTGCTTTGAAGCCTTTCTCTTCTGCTGTTTCTTGTTAAACATTGCTCTCCAGCTTTCTACACCTACCTTTTTGCCTCGCCAAACTGTGCTACAATTACCACACAATGCAGTTTTCTCAGTATACTCCCTTACAGCTCACAGAGTCCAAGTCTTAGGGTTTGTCATGGGATATATAAAGATCCATATGATATGCTGTTCATCGAAAATTCGGTTACCAAAAATGCTTCAGAGAAATAAAACATAATTTTAGCTACACTGGAAACATTATTCTATCAATATTTTATTACTTTTCTTTCCCCCTTTGAAATCTCAGGAATGCTTCAACCTCGACAAGCCTTTGCTCAAAAACTCCTGAAATGAAAACAATCAAGTGATTATGAATAAAGAATGTAACAGAAGCTGGAGTTAAGGTGTTGGATTGTAACATTTTCCAAATGTAACTAAAACATGATTAAAAATTTGTCATTTAAAGGCCAGATAAATAAATGTAGGTATCTCTGTTGTGAATAATTGAAATATCGATACCAATTTACGAGTCAAATCTTTCTGTGCTGCTGCAGCAGTAAATGGTAAACAAATCAATGTCCAAAGAAATGATGAAGTATGATCAGATAGTATTTTATAATATGTTTTATTGGAATAACTTGCACAAATCCAGATCTGCATTCAAACAACACTCATGCACTTATATCCAGATTGTGCTGCTGTGGTCAGTGATAATGTAGTCACAAACGATTTGCCTGTTGGCTGTTAGTATGTAATTTGGTGAAATGGGAATATATTTCTCTCTTCCTCTGTTTTGTTAATGTTTAGTGAATTAGACAGATGGAATATTCAACAAAGCATAAGAAGCAGCAATGTAAGATGACTCAGGTCAGCCATTTTGTGTAAATAAAATAAAATAAGACAAACATGACTTGATAAATGTGTGAACCTCATAATTTACATTTCTTATCTGACATTTTGCAAATGACAGAATCAGTAGAAACCAAGCTTATTAAACATATCATGAAAACTGCATATTGAACAGCTACTACATAGCTATAGAGTAGCCTATAATGTTATTTAATAAGAAAATAAAGCAATGTTAATATATCATAAACGCCTAGAGGTTTGGTGAAATTAATTMGATTTTATGGACTGCAAAGCCATCCTTAGTGTTTATCAGTACCATCAAACAAGTCTAATTTAATACAAATAAGTCATATTGTCCTCTGCAGGGTAGTAGGCTGTTCTCATTTATARCTGTTTAAATAACAAACACGATGAAGCATTTAGTTAAACATGCACAAGTGGTTTCAGTGAAGGAATATTTAAAAAAAAATGGTTTCCACAGAGAGGTTACCCTCAGTTTATGTTTTGCTTGGAAAATATGTTGTGTTGGTAAAACTAGAGTTTATTGAAGAGTTGATTTCAGCCATCTAAAACAATTTAAACCTGTCACAAACCTTCCAAAAAAAAAAAACTTCCAAATATTCCTTATGAATAGAAGCAAAAAGGGTCTAAAAATGTCTTAACCACATTGCAAAAGCTGCAATCAAAGTACAGTACATAAACACTTTATGTACTGTGAAACATAGCTTTAAGATTTATTTATTTATTGACTGATTTTTTTGACCTGATCCAAACGAATTAAGCTGCTTTAAAGGGCCAATATTATGTGTTTCTCAGGCATACATTTAAATACTATACCATAATAAAGTATCTATGTCACCTTTAGTTGTTATTAAAATGCGGTTTTTATGTTTAAATAAAAAAAAGACTTATCTTCTCATCACTTCCTCTTCTAAACACCTTGAAATTGGCCTCTGTCTCTTAATGAACCACCTTCTGCTTCCGTTTTGCCCATTTCAGTGCAGGAGGGGGGGCTGCTATGATGCAGTTTACATCTGAAAATACATTTCCTCAAATGTATTTTTAATCTGAAAAGAGCTTTACTGAGTGAGAACTAAAGTTGAGAGCTCAGCAGACAGTTAAGTTTCACTTTTACTTTCACCCAAGAGTCTGTGGGAGTCATGGGCGGGGTTTGTGGGGAGGGGTGAGGCGCTCTGCCATGAGGAAGTTCAGCTTAAAGACACGTCCCAGGGGCGTTTCTGGTACCAAAAGGCGTTTCTGGTCCCCACCTGTCGTTTTGCTCCTCAGCATGCCTTCCTAAAATTGCTGCAGGATTTCTCAAACATTCATGAATGAGTCAGAGCAAGGCNATACTATACCATAATAAAGTATCTATGTCACCTTTAGCTGTTATTAAAATGCTGTTTTTATGTTTAAATAGAAAATAAACTTATCTTCTCATCACTTCCTCTTCTAAACACCTTGAAATTGGCCTCTGTCTCTTTAAGAACCACCTTCTGCTTCCGTTTTGCCCATTTCAGTGCGGGAGGGGGGGCTGCTATGATGCAGTTTACATCTGAAAATGCATTTCCTCAAATGTATTTTTAATCTGAAAAGAGTTTCACTGAGTGAGAACTAATGCTGAGAGCTCAGCAGACAGTTAGGTTTCACTTTCACTTTCACCCGAGAGCCTGCAGGAGTCATGGGCAGGGGGTGTGGGGAGGGGTGGAGGGGGTGCGCTCTGCCATGAGGAAGTTCAGCCTAAAGAGACGTTCCAGGGGCATTTCTGGTACCAAAAGGCGTTTCTGGTCCCCACCTGTCGTTTTGCTCCTCAGCATGCCTTCCTAAAATCGCTGCAGGATTTCTCAAACATTCATGAATGAGTCAGAGCAAGGCTTTGGGCATGTTTTTTTTAATGAGAGTGTAACATTATAACATGATATAAAACTCAAAAAAGTTGCTTTTACATGATATTGCCCCTTTAAACACATGAACATACAGYGGTGAAATAATTGCACTTTTGCTGTACTTGAACACACTATTTGTTTCATGAGACCTAGGCTGCTCTCAGCCTCTTGAGTGCCCAGTACACGAGCAGCCCATCTGTTTCTGAAGTGGCTTTGATTGCAAACATTCCTCCCAGAGTGAGAATCTACTGCTGTCATGCTGCAATCCACTAACAATCTGTTCAATCTACGCCACTGCTGGTGGTTGATTGAAAAGTGCCACTGCGACGTTACTTCACGTTGACAAGCACGTCGCCAGTGATCTTAAGGCCTCCGGCATCAGAAACAGCCAGCATGGAACTCTACAGATTTAAGCCTGCTTCAAAAGGATGTTACAAAGATGTCATTTTTATATTGTTCATAAATGATCCAGGCTTGTTACGTGGACGTTACTTTGCAGACCTGTGTTTCTTCATCATTATTTGTTCAATGTGATAAAATTGTGTACAAAAGWGGGTTAAAAGTTTACATCTTAATGAAATTTAATATCAGAGATGAACTATGGTATCTAATAAATCTGCCATCAAGTTTTACATCGCTAAATCATGGTGCTCATTTTGAAGACACAATGTGTCTAGTTCTATTTTTCCATTATCATCATCATCATTATCATCATCATCATCATTAATAAAAAGTAAAATTTGGTGATTGAATTAAATCAGGTGCAGTCCAGATGTAAGTGACTGACAGGTAACACCTAAACTTTGCTTTTTGTAAAGCACCTAAAAAAGTGTATATTGCATAATAACACTTTTGGTTTTATTTATTTATTTCATTGATCTAATCTTTATTTAACCAAACAAACTCCACAGAGATCAYGTCTGTTTTTAAAGGGAGCCCTGAGCCTAAAGGCAGCCTAAACAATAAACACGCAGGTTTTTGGACTTGGAAAGGGAACCAAATTGCCCAGAGAAAACCTCGACAAASTCCACACAAAACAACCTGAGGCCCAACTCTGCCTGGATCTTCTTGCTGTGAAGGTAACAGTGCTAACCGCTAACCCACTGTGGTGCCCAGTAATGCCTAAAAGTCTCTGAAAGTTTAAAGTCGAACTTAAAAAAATAATCTCTCAGATAAATACATTTTTTCCTTTCAAGATAAAATATCTCATTACAGTTTGTCTGAAAAGATGCACGTGTTAAAGGCTTATTCTGACAGAGGAGTGAAGGCAGTTGTAAACGGCTCAGTAACAATGCATAAAGTGGCTGAACCATTTAAGCTCTGACACACACAAACAAATCTGCTATTTCATCAGAGGGAGAGATAATTCATACAACCTAACATGTGAATTCTTCTAAAAATACTGCTCATAACTGTGACTGCAAATTAACACTTGAGGTTGATTTTTTTTTTCATTTGTACAAAACAGTATTAAGTAAAAAAATAAACAAGAAGAAAAAAAAACAAGAAAAATCAGTGCTCATGCAAAAAAAAAACCTAACATGTGAATTCTTCTAAAAATACTGCT